AGGCGCGGGCCGGCGTCGCTGTGCGCAGTCGTGTGCGAGTGAAGCCGCTTCCCGCCATCGCCCTCCCGCTTCTTCTAACGTCTGCCCTCCGCATTCGCTTCCCGCGGGCTGCCAGAGCCTTTCACTTCCTCAGGGCCTCGGTGCCAGGGCTTCTCCGCTGGCAGCAGCTGCCTAACCAGCGAGAGGTTCGGTAAAGTCATCCCGTGTTTCCTGAGAGCGAAGACGGGATCTGTGTGCGATGCTGCCACTTTGCCGTTCTCTTAAACGCCTGTTCGTTTTTCAGAATGTGATGCAACTGCCTTTTATTTGGGACTCCTGCCTCTTCTACTTACGTTTTAATGGCGCACATCACCATTAATCAGTATTTGCAGCAAGTAAGCAAGTTTTTTTTTTTTATTTGTGGGTACTGTTAGAGTATGTGGATGTGGTTTTCTTTGCTGGAAATATGTTACTTTGTTTAAGAAATAAACTAACCTGGCATGTGTGCTGTGGTAAAGAAAAATACTTCTCAATTCACTATTAAGTACATCATCCGTGTGCCAAGATTGTATACCTGGAATTTCTGAAAAGTGTGATGGTTACTGATATAATGGATAGTGAAGTCATTTTTCCATAAGAACTAACACGGTGGGATTGCGTGCAATAACAAATGCAGCTCAGGGATTCAAGAAATACAGGGATTTAAGAAGTGCAGAAATGCAGAGACACAGTGTGTATGGCATGGAGGATGGAGAGACAGGAGCAGGGTCACAAGGATACCAGCTGGACTGAGCTTTCAGTGTGTTTAACCCCAGCCAGCAACTAGGACCACACAGCTGCTTGCTCACCCCTCCAGCTGGGATGGGGAGAAGAGTAAAAGTGAGGAAAAACTAGTGCGTTGAGATAAAGACAGTGTAATAGGGAGAGCAAAAGCCACACGAGCAAAGCAAAACAAGACATTTGTTCACTGGTTCCCATCGGCAGGCAGGTGTTCAGCCATCTCCAGGAAATCAGGGCTCCATTGAGCGTAACAGTTACTTGGGAAGACAAACGCCATCACTCTAAACATTCCCCCCTTCCTTCTTCTCCCTCAGCTTTGTATACTGAGCACGACATCATATGGCATGGAATATTTCTTTGGTCAGTTGGAGTCAGCTGTCCTGGCTGTGTCTCCTCCCAACTTCTTGTGCCCCCTAGCCTGTTTACTGGCAGGGCATTACGAGGACCAGAAAAGGCCTTGACTGCTTAGCAACAGTCAAAAGCACCAGCGTGCTATCATACTATTCCCATCCCAAATCCAAAATGCAGCCAGTATACCAGCTGCTAGTAAAAAAAGTTAACTCCATCCAAGCTGAAACCATAACACAGCGTCAAGCTTTTAGTGTGACCACTCCTACTGTTTCTTTCTGAACCATCACATTTTCATCATTGTTACCATCTTACTCTCTTCAGTCAAGATCGGTCGAGTCAATCAAGTGAAGGGCACAGAAAGAAAGTAATTGGGTTTTATTCTCAAAAATGGAGCAGCTGAGATCTCTCAAGACAGTGATCTGCTCTGAAAAGCCAGCATCTTCTCCAGCTGACAGTCCTCATGATCCTCTGTCTCCAACCTCCCTATTGTAAAGACTGTCTCTGCATTTAAACTGTATTTGCATTTTCTTAAGTTTATGCGCATCTCTCACCAATCCCTTATCGCTTATGGAAAAACATTTTGCTCTTTGTCAAACTCAGACACTTTACTGATGGAATGTGTGCTAACTGGGTGAGGATGGAAATCCAAAGCAATGGGTACGGAAGTGACACAAAGCAGCATGCATGACACTTAAAAATGAAGACAGGTAGATTAAACACGTAGGTATCATTCTAAAGGCAATGTCTGATGTTAGACTACTATCTGTATAGAATACTTTTGAAACTTGTCAAGGCTGTAAATGTTATATTCTATGGGAGAATGGTTTTATTCTGCTTCCTGTTCAAGATAACTCCTTGTTAAAAAAAAAAAAAAAAAATTGTCTGAGCAGCTTATTGTGACATCAAGCGAGAAATTTCTTCAGTTGTGGAAGTAGTTCTAGATACTACTTCTTTAAAGTTCCTTTCCCGCTGCTTGTGCTTTATTTCTCATATTTTTGTGTCCTGATAGGGAAAAAAAAAAAAAGTATCTTTTTCCTATATGGAAAGCCCATACCAAATGGGAAAAATCATACACTAAATTAGCCAAGGAAGCAGCAAAAGAGGGAAAATCAACAGCTTAAACTCTTTCAGAGATTGGTGTTGGGTATTTTTTTCAAGTCACGGAGAGCTAATTTTGTGGTTTGGAAGTAGTTTTTCTTACTAAATGTAAAATTCATATGAAATATATTTGCGAGTCCTGATTCATTACATGCAAAGTCCATCTGCAGCATTGCAAACAATAACACGCAAAGATTGTTTATGCCTTCACACATATGTTTGATGCCCATAAGTCCAACTGGAATTTTAAAAAGCTTAACCAAATCTGGTTCACAACAGCTCTCTTACAATGCTAAACTCATGTAAGTTGTTTGGAGATTCTGTGGTTTGCTCATATCCTACAAATAAGGAAAAAAACACCATGGTGTTCACCTGACCTTTTCCCTGATAGGTTTTCGAAAAACAGGTGTATTGAAAGTACAGTATTAATTCATTTAGTTTTAAACCTTTAAAAACTCACAGTTGCATTGGTATTGGTGTGGATGAACAGTGGTAACAAAAAAGTGGCTTCTATAGTCATGTAAATATGTTGCATGTCTGTGGCTGGATTTTATTCTGTAACGTGCCTATTTTCTTTGGTAGGTACAAGAAGCCATTGACAGCAGAGATGGACAATTTTGTGCAGAATTGGTATCATTTAAACATCCACATGTTGCAAACCCGAGGCTACAGGTGAGAATCTCTTTTTGGCGTTTCTTTTGCTTTACTTTCGGTTTTCCTAGCTCTCTATATAGGTTCCTTTCCATTGCGGATAAACCTCAGAAATCTGTTTTACAGGCCAGAGCAGGATCCACTTGTAGGTTTGTTTCCCTTTTCTTCTTACAAGGATATCTTAGAAGGATATCATATATTTCTTTTTTTTTTTTTTTTTTTTTTTTTTCCTGGATGGCTTTTTGTGTTCCAGTTTGAATTGTTTTCTGGATAGATACAGTCTTGAAGGTCCCTTCTGGCCAGGTGTACATTAGTAACATGGCATAGTGGAAATGACTATAAAGAGGAAACCAGTGGGTAGAGGAAACCAGTGGGTAATCAGGTTCTGGAGACAGAACGAACACTAGCAATTCATTACACTGGGTGTGATTATTAATATAACTTAAGGTTCTAATAGATAACAAAGGCATGTATGCCTAAAACTGCCATGACAAAATATCCATGTAATGTTCTGTTTCTGGTGCATTGGATGTTCATTTAACGTTTCATTGATTTATTCTATACTTAGCTTCCATCTCCAGAGGAGAAATGTCAACAGGTTTTGGAACCACCATATGATGAAATGTTTGCAGCCCACTTAAGGTAAAGATGGACCAGGAATGTAAAGTTAATTGTGAGGCATCCAACAGGGATGGGGAAGGATAGCCTAAAGTTTACTTAGTTTTTTAAAGGGCTTATATCTGAAAACTTGGTATTTATTACTCTTATAAATAATTCTAGAACTGCAGGAAATAAAGACCACCTTTTTCCTCTCCGTGTAAAGTTTGCTTTATGTACGTGGCGGTCATCTACGTATAGCCATTGACACAGCTTTGGTTTCAGTGCTTGCTCTTCCCTTTGCTTAGCATTTACTAGCTACACAAGAATTTAGGGTGAAGTAAGTAGGGGAAATAAATATTTTTAAAAGGGAATTTTAGTCATAAAAGTATTCTTAAGACAGCTTTAGGACCCTAGTAATTCTGTGAGGTTTTTACTTAAAAAAAAATCTGCACTAACACAGTCTTTAGTTTAATTTCAATGGTCTTGGATTTTTTTTTCATCTGTGCTAATGTTGGTGACAGTTTCAATAGGCATTAGCATATTACAGTTGATACTGTACATATTATAAAAACAAATCCCTGTTCATCTCTTGGATCAGTTTTCTACAATTGCCAGGCTTAGTGCTGTGTTAAAATAGTTGTGCCATTTTGTTAGGAACATTTCTAGTCATATTTCTGTGTCTTTTTTTTTTTTTTAAATAAAGTGTAAGGCTCTATGCTTGTTAAGAGTCATGTGTATATGACATTTTCTGGTGCACTAATGCACTTTTTCTTTCACAGGTGTACTTACGCTGTTGGAAACCACGACTTTATAGAAGCATACAAATGCCAAACAGTTATTGTTCAATATCCTTTTCCCTAAATCTTGTATATTGTTTTCAGATTTACTATATGTCTTTTTGTAGAATGAGTTATCTTTATACCTTTTCAAATCTAATAGAATGTGGTCTGCTTCCAAATACACTTCAGCTATTTAGGTTCTTAAACAAGGAAATCCAGATATACTCTTCTTTCAACTTCCTGTCAGACTAAGAAGGAATCTGTCACTTGGCTTTAAAATAGAAAATTAATTTCTCACAGAGTATAAAAGACCTTAAAATCATTAATATACCTCCCAGTTTGTACTTGTCTGGAGGGGGAGATACTGATAAAGAAAGCTGCTATCTTATCTCTGAGTGACGAATGTTTGTCCCAGCTACTGCTGCACCAAGGAGTGTGTGGCTGTGCACGCGTTATTCCCTATTGGGTCTTTTCATCCTGACTCCTCATCTACTCGCTGCTTTGTTGGTTTCTGCCCTTTCATGTAGTAGTATGTGGTACCATACAACTGCTGGGTTTTATATCTGTGCTTCATTTAATACTGTCTTAAATTCTCCTAAATACAATACATCTTTCCTGCGAGCATTTCAGGCACATAAGGAGGAAAACTGGTGAGTACATCATAGAGAGCTGCTAGAGAAACTAGACTTTATCTTTCACTAGCATAGTACTATAGTAGTCTAACTAAAATTATGCCTATAGTTTTTATTTATTGCCAGCGATACTTAAATGCAGCCTAATTGTTTTTGCTGCCTGTTTGAGTTTTTTAGATCCAAAGTGTGAAAGCTAAACGTTTAAGCTTGGTTTTGTAGAATGGTCCATAAGTAAACACGTGAAGAATTTGTTCAAGGTGAGATGGTATTTTATTAAAGCTACTGTAAAAAATATTTCTGAATTAATTCTTCCTCCAGTGTAGGATTTTTGAAATGCTGAGATTTTGAAGACCTTTCCTTTTAAAAAGTGCATCCTTCTTTATTTAAAGATTAATGTATACTTTTCTAGTTTTATGACCAACTAGCAAAAAAAAAAAAAATAATGCTTGTTTCTCCTGTCTTACTTGTTGCATGATTTGCCCATACTAAGTATACTGTTTTACTTTTCCAGGGCTTTACCTATTATGTATGCTGTAGCCCTTGATCTTCGAATTTTTGCTAATAATGTAAGTAGATCTGATTAACAGCCTCGTTACTTTTATCTGTTAGGCCTTTCCATGGTGGAAATATTTTAGACTTTATTTCATAGCCTAATTTTGCACAGTACTGTTTAACTCATTGTTTAGGATTTTGTTGATGCACTAAATTAATCCAGTCCTATTGAAAAACTGGGTTGTTCAGTCTGCCCACCTCCCATTTGCAGCTTGAACTAGAGAGGTTCTGAGGACCTGCATGCAACTCACAGCAATTGCTTAGAGCATATGAAGTGATTAAATACTGTCTTCATAGAGTAGCACAGTGGCACAACTCGCTATTTCCGTGTGTTATCCTTGGGATTTGGAGGAGTCTTTATGAGGGTGGAGATATCCCTGACAACTGAGCTAATCTAACCACTTACCACATCTGGAGAGGGAAGTTGCTGCCTCCTTTTCCCTCTTGCAGCTGCGTGTACTGCTTTTGATGCTCATTGAAGCCCTTGCTGAGCCCATACAACTGCTGTCAAGCAAAAAAACCCCAAATTTACATTATTTTTCTCAGGCTAGTTAATTGAAGTAGCTTGTCTAGGGATCTAATGAGAACTGCTAGACTGAGGTAAGTGTCAGGGATCTTGCTCCTAGTCACTTTACCTAAAGAAGTGAAGCTAGAATTTAAGTTAGGTTAGAGTTTGACAATATCCAGTATTTTCAGTGTTTGTCCCCTCAGCACTTCCTTGTGCCCACACACCCACAAAACAACACATTTGGGATGCTTGCACAAAGAATATTTGTGTGTGTGCATGCCTGCTCTGTAACAAGTCTCAATTCTCAGTCTGAATGAGGCAAATTCGTACATTTGAGATGAATGAGAAAGGGGAAAGTGGTATCAGTCATGCTGGAAGTGTTTGAACTGTGTGTTCTAATCTGAGTATATTCAAAGGACGGAAATACAGAGAAGACTTCTGCGGCAAAGGATGCATTTCCATTTCTCTTCGTTACATTTCAGCTAGTGAGAATGCAAGCCTTATAATAAAACTTTTTAGAAAGCACATAGTAAATACCTACTTGCTGGTCTCTCCCTCCCCCCTTCTTTGTTGTTTAAGTTCTGCGTTAATCAGTGCATGGATCTTTCCCATATGTTGGCAACTCTTCTTTTTTTTCCTCTTGCCGCTGTAACATATGTTTTCCATTTCTTCTGAAAATCCCACGTCCTAGCAGTGTGTGTTACTACTAGAAAATGTTGAATACGGTTTAGAAATAAAGTCTAGTCCACGTGGCTGATCTAAAGCACGTGGCTGTGGAGAGAAGCTTAATTATACATTCTAAAATTCAAACTTCATACTGGGGAATCATTTTAGTTTGCTTTTGTGCAAAAGACATTTTTTTGCCAGATTCTTGGTCTTTGAAAACTTGAGTTAATGCTCCAATTCAGCTATCAGATGACCCTGAATTTAGGTTTCTGAGAGCTGCGTTAAGTTTAGTGGCACTAAAGGGAATAGCAGTCAGTGCTATTTTCAAAGGACTGTCCTGTGCGTTAGATTTGGTACATGTTCAGGAGCCTCTCTTGAGTGCTTTCATCTATTCTGTGAGCTTGACTACCTTCTAGATTTGAGGGATAGTAGGCATGGCAAATCTATTGCTTTAAGACTTTATAAAATGCTATATTAAAGAACTAAACTTTACAACCCAGCGAACCAGGATGTAGAATTACACATTGTTTCTTGCTGTGTAATGACAGGCAGATCAACAGCTAGTGAAGAAAGGGAAAAGCAAAGTTGGTGACATGTTAGAAAAAGCAGCGGAACTGCTGATGAGCTGTTTTCGAGTCTGTGCCAGTGACACGTAAGTGAAAGATTCTCTATAGAACTTGTACGATTAAATTGTTAAGAACTTAATGAACTTTACATGAGATTTTTCCGCTTACTAAGACCATATCTGGGTAAGAACAAACACTTCTAAGGCTCATTTCCTCTCATTTGTAGTCTGTTCTCTCTTGACTATTAACTACAGCTGGAGAGGCCTTCCTTCAGGTTTAACATTCCTAGCAGATGTTGTTGGGAGGGACTGGTTGTGTCCCTGTTTCTCAGGAAAAATCATTAACACTTTTGTGCCCCGTTCAGCTGTAAACTTTGCTACGTTATGATTAGATGGAAAAGAGGTGACTCTTTGCTTTCCAGTCTTGGCAATTTTAATATTTCCGAGGTGGAGAAAATGTTGTTGTTTTTTTCCCACCTTTCTTTCACCTTGAGTATTGTAAGCAACTGATATTCTAGTATATGTGTTACCTGTAGACTGGAGTAAGGACCGTGATGCAGATGAATAATATTTTGCATGACATCTTTTCATTATGTTGAGAAGAAATGTAGCAGAGTTGTGTAAAATTTAAGATGGGAACACATGTTCTGTTTTGACAGTGCTGGTATGGTTTAAGACAAGGAGTTTGGCCTTGACTTTTATTTACAGACTCGTATTTTTATCCTAAAAATCCATAAAATATCTGTGGAGGGAATTTAGCGTAAGGACCAAGTCATTATTTTCTTACAACATTCAGTACTAATAGGTTTTTTACTTTTTTTCTTTTCTTATGACAGTCGAGCAGGCATTGAAGATTCCAAAAAGTGGGGAATGTTGTTTCTCGTGAATCAACTGTTTAAAATTTATTTTAAGGTAGGGTTCAAGTTTGGTAAGCTGTGTTTTCTATTTCATATTCTAAGTCAAACCCACCCTTTTTTACATGATGTTATGTATCTATACTCTCTGAGTAAAATGCAATTAACTTCTTTTTAACAGATCAACAAGCTCCATCTATGTAAGCCCTTAATTAGAGCAATTGACAGCTCAAATCTGAAGGATGAGTATAGTATGGCACAGCGAGTTACGTACAGATATTATGTTGGACGCAAAGCCATGTTTGACAGTGATTTTAAGCAAGGTACTGTGCGCCAGTAAGAGATTTAAAGTCTTGCTGCTTTGTGTGAAATCTGGCTGATGTGGTGTGTGTGTGACTCAAAATGTGTGTAGAAGGTGCAGTTGTGTTTGTGTTGATCCAAGGCCCACAGTCTGAGTCAGATCAGAGACGAGATTACGTGACACTTCTAATTGTAGCGTATGCCCAGTTTTAAAATACCTGTGTCAGTGACGTTCTTCATAGTCTTACACATCGTGTGCACACATAATGAAATGTATGAGCATCCAGAAGAAGAGGTGTGTAAAAGGTTTCACAAAGGAAGATTTGTGACTCTCTTGTCCTCTTCAAGTTGCTGTATGCCATGTAGGAAATCTTCAGCAAACTGTACTGTAGAATTAGTTTCTCAGTGCATTGGTTTTTGGAAGATGTTAAAACTGCATTTCTGAGATTTCTTACTAGTAGAAATGTTTCTAGAGCTCAGGTGTACAATTTTCATTGCTAACTGAAGCCCCTGACCAAAATCTATTCTGGAGCTGGTTTTGTTACTCTAAACAGTGTCTTCTGCCTGTCAGGCTTGTCATTTTTCTCTCTCAGTGAAACCTGATGAAAGATTTTCACGTTGTCACGCTGTGTGATCTCACTGGCACATCTCTGCAGCTCAGCAGATGTGTGCATGGCATGCAACTTAAATCCACCAAAGAACCTAATCTGTGCATTTAGAAAAATGAGTTCTGTTTCATCAGTGCTTCTTGAGATTCTACCCTCCTGTAGTAGTAACACAATAATGTTACTGAAATGAGCTGAAAATTCCAGTATTGCTTGTAACTGTTACCTCTGACATCTAGACCTTGGCAGGTTTTCTTTGACTTTCTGAAGGAAGACTTATTTTTCTGGTAAATCTTTGTATTTTGTGTTACTTCCCAATAATTTGCACAGTATTTTTCTTAATGCATTTTGATTGGTGTGATTCTTTTTTATGTAATTTCAAATATTACACGTTCAAGCTAGAGATGGACATTGAGCACAGAATTTGGATTACGGTTTTAATCTGTTTTTGTTGTTCACTCATGTTACTAGCACTTTTATTTGTGTCTGCAGCTGAAGAATATCTGTCATTTGCCTTTGAGCACTGTCACCGCTCAAGCCAGAAGAACAAAAGAATGATTTTGATCTACCTGCTGCCAGTAAAAATGTTGTTGGTGAGTAGATGTTACTCTTCTAAGTAATTTTTTGGAGGTTATTATGCTCAGTATGGTTTTTGTTTTTCTCTTATTGAAATTCAGAGGGTGTCTGTGCCTCACCACAATAAAAGTCAGCACATGCACACTTTGTTGCGTGAGGACAAAAACTGTTGAATTGTCATAGCAACACAGGAAAGGAGACAGGGAAAAAAAAACCCCACCAAACAAAAAGCTGACCCTCCTTTCACCTTACCTTCCTTCCACCCCTACTAAAAGTGCTACCTGAGGTTACTTGTGTAATAAAGATAACTCCGAGCTCTTTGGAGAAGCACTTAACAGTTTAACTTGTCATGTAGCAGAGTGCCTGTCTGGTGATCAGCTGTACAGATGGGCCAGGGAATGTGTGGATTCACTAGTACGAATCTGTCTGCTCCTTTCACCTGGTGAAGGGAAGGAGTATGTGCAAACAGATGGCAGAAGACTGTTGAGGGGAGTTTGCCGCAGGAGAGAAAGGATTCCTGTCTTTGGGTTTTCTACTTGTCCCTTGTACATCTGCTCATTCGAGGCATGTCAGAAGGGTCATGAAGTAGAGCGTTTTGGTTTTGAACAAATCAGTGAAGACTGGTTACTGTTTGATCATTTCATCTTTCTATTAAAAGAATTAAGCATATCTCTGCTTCTTGTGCCTGTCCTTTCCCATGTGCTGCGCTGGCATTTGTGTATCCCTGAGTTAGTGGGATTATGCTAACAATTAATTCAGTGTAACTGAGGGGAAAAGAAGATGATTTTCAGAGCTTCCTTCTCCTGGCCCTATTACCAAAGTTACCTATGGAAAATGTTATAACCTGCTTCTGTGAGTTGCCGTCTTCCACCTTTGCCCCAACCTGTTTATGACCATCCTCCCTTTTCCACTCAATGTTCCCTTTTCAGTCCCTTGCAGTGACAAGTGGGTAAAGGGGAAGCATAACGGGTATGATAATTTGCTTCTGGTTTTCATCTTTTGTTTATTGACTTTCTTGCTGGTTGTTTTCAGATCAATCAGTGGTAGGGCTGATAAGGAACACTAACAGCCTTCCTAAAAACTTTGTCCCAGTCCTGACTGGGTGCCTTAAATTGGTGGGTTCGTTAGTGCCTAGAATTACTGTGGCTTTTCTGGAGCAGTTCTAGTGTACAAGAGGCACTAAATAAACTAGATAAAGGTCATTGTTTTTACAGTTGCTTTTTTTGATCAGAGCCCAAACATTAACACTAACCTTAAACCATACTAAAATAGCTTGGATGATGTTTTTTTTTTATTCCTAGCAGCTCTCAGTAAACATGCAGCTGAGTTCTGCTCTCAGCTAATCCTCCAACCAGGAAAGGAGTTACCAATAGCATAGCATGATGGTAACTAAATTTAAAGTCTGACCCAAGTCAATGTGCAATCTGATCTCTGCTGTGCAGGGGGAAAAGAAAAAGTTTCCTTTTTGATAGTGTAGGCGGTTCAGTCTTACCTGATCTAGCAATGAGAATTAATTTTGCTGTTTTAAATTTAAACTTTCTGTTGTTTTGGGTTTTGATTTTATTTTTTTTATTATTATTTCTGCACAGAGGCAGAGTGAAGAAGAAATCTGGTACAGACTGAGCTAGCTAGTATTATTAGTAATGCTTGGGATTCCTGCAGTTTTTCTGTTTGCAGATTGGATCATACAGCCATGACATAAAAGTTGAATCTGCCTGGGTCTCACATGACAGGATCTTGATTTTAGAAGTTTGGTAACTGTACCCCAACATTAAGAAATACTAAGACTCCCTAAACCATGATAAATAAGTAGTTATCGTGAGTTGAGCTACAAGGTATTGGGTGGGGGCAATGGGTTTGTCTTACAAATACTTTTATTCACCTCTTGTTCTTTAGCAAAAAAAAAAAGTGGTTAAACATTTGTTTTTTTCCCTTTGAAAAATGTTTTTATCGCTTACTAGATGACATTTGAAATGCATTTGACTTTATCCTGGAAAACTTGGAAACTGTTTATTTTTCAGGGCCACATGCCAACAGTTCAGCTCTTAAAAAAGTATGACCTTATGCAGTTTGCTGAAGTAACAAAGGCTGTGAGGTATGATGATTATTTTATTGCATTGTGTGTTAGTTCAAAAAGTATTAAGTAAGAGGTATTTATTTGGGATGATTGAGGAGGGCAGAGGAGGGATATTCCTACCAAATCAAACAGTTTGTTTTCTCATTTGGGTGAGACCTTCTCATGTTTTCATTTCTTTGACCTCATAGTGAA